GTGCTTATTAAATCTGTTGCGCTTCCCTTTTTTCATTATTGGACGATGACGATGTTGGTGGCGAAGGGCTCCAAATGCTATTATTAGCTTGAAGAATATCGGTCTATATAAAAGAAAATTAATTGAGAAAATAATTCAAAATAATTAGAAAAAAAATTAAGTTTATGATGGATGGCTGGATGCTGGAATATAAAGATTTTGTATTAAAAACTTGTAAGGGCAAGGTAAGATTTATCACTCCCATTAAAATGAATTTAATAGGTATAAAAAAGAACCTGGCCTCATAATATGCTTATCAAGAATTGTCGGGCAACATCACGGACTTCTTGAGACATATTATCATCTTCATTAATTGAATTTAACGTTTTATAGAATGAAAAAAGAGCAGCCAATTTATCAACGTTTTCATAGTTATCAACTAATAAAGTTATAAAATTATGAAGGGACCACTTTTCATAAGGAATATACTTTATATGGGATTATTTCAATTGATGCTTAATGGTGATAGAAGTAGTAACAGACATGTTTTATAATATTTTTTGAAAAAAAAGGTTAAAAAAAATCAAATTAAAAAAATTTGTAAGGATCAAATTTACCTTCGATATTTTTAGATATTTATATCAGATGTGTTTTGATTGTCATGACACAAATCATATGATCCGTAACAAGTGTTTAATAGCAAACTTACAGTAATATACATGATAATATTACTTATTAAATAAAGTCACCCACATTTTTATTTGTTATTTGTTATTATAAATAATTATAAAGCAACGACCTGTCTGTTAAAAATTTATTAAAGTTCTTAATAATTTTGTTTTAGTTTTTTTTTAAATTAAATATCTTTTGGGTTACGAAAAATATCTTGACAAGTGTAAGGTTGTTAAAATTTATTAAATTTTCAAACAAGGGTTTTTATAAAATGTTAATAATAAAATAATTTTTATATTTAAACAATACAAATTATTAGATATAAAAGTTTAATATGACATTATCATCTATTTGATAACAAATAAGATTTTCTCACGAACTGAGAAGCTACACAGCCACACCACATCTTTTGGATTATAACTGAATTTTCAGATTCATTCATACAATTATACCCTTTAACTCTACCTAACCTCCAACTTTTCGTTTGTCTTCCTCACTTCTTAATTATAAATTATTTCAAATTTCAAATTTCTTTTATCATTGGGCTATGCAAAGCTTGTTTTCTATAGTTACCTGATAAACTTTCAGGTTTTGACGAGTTCACTGGTAAAACTATAATAAACCTTATTAGCCAAACTGTCGAAACTCGAAACTATAATAAAATCCCGTCAAAAGTCAAAACTATATAGAAACCTTTTTAACAAATCCGAAATATAAGGTGTCGACTATTGCCATTTGTTAAAATAAGTTTTGCCAGCGACTATATAGTTTCCGCAACTAGAATGAAGAATCTCACTGACTATAACAACTTAGAACCGAAAAACTGACAGTTAACAGCCGCATTATACCAGATAGCAGAATACTTTGTCGGTCTGCCAAGATAAAATAACAGCTTGTTCTCATCTGTGAGTTGCTTAACTTCTTGCTATAGGCCTTAAACTCGTCGAACATAAAGAAGGTCTTGTAAACGTTCAACTTTCGTACAAAAATATTATATTGAAATGAAGGTCTTTGTGTACCAAAAGTAATTCTCGATTCAGTATGGTAATATGTGAATATATTGAATTATACTTTGTTTTTCACTAACAACCTGAAACGAAATGATTTATAATTCTGCAAATATGAACTTAAATTAACCTAAAGTAATCATGAGCGCTGTAGATGTAAATGTTAAGTATTAAGTGTATGGTATGTTGATATAAAAATTACGTTACGGATAATATAATCTACTATGTTCGTAACTCGTAGCAAACCTTCCGTATACTGAGAATACAGTAATCAATCTGGAACATTGACAAAAATTACATTAAATCTCCATTTCAAATGGAATGGTAAAAATTCAATTCAATGAGTCAAAATTTTTGATATTACATTTTTTAGTTAATAACGTCGTTTATATGATTTATTATTTCCTTTTATTGATACTGCATTCTGATAAAAAAAATCAAATAAAGATTTATTAACAATATTACGAAGCATTATTTTTTATAAAAAGTATAAATGTTAGCATTGCAAAAGAATTTACTGGTAAAGGTAAATTTTTTTCGTAACTTTGTAGCCTCAGTTCATATTTGAAGCAAATTATTTAAGTCACCGGATCACTGCAAAATTATAACATTAGGTATTTAGCGAAGGCAATTTATTGGCAAAAAATTTAAAATTTAAATCGCAACATTGAAAGATGTTTTTAAATAATTTTTTCAGATTTCTATATAAATCGAGCACCAACTTACAGTGCGCGACGAAAGTATTCGGAATTACGTTTTTATTTATTGTACTTCGAAAACAACTCAAAAGTACTTGAAA